CGAACACTCTTACTTTGGAAAAACCATGATGGTGAACATACACTTTTGCAATTCTTATAATATCTTAACAAGTTTTCGACAATTAATTAGATATTTAATTTTTATACACACACCCAACAAAATTCAATTGGGCCTTTTCGTCTTTATCTTCAAACGCTGTAGAATTAACAATTATGCCTTGTGTAATAATATCGTATATCTTTTGATTAATTTTCTCTCTCCATTGTTGAATATCATCATGACTCTCGAACTTTTCCTGACTAAGAAATCCTTTCACCACTGTCATTTTGTTTTGAGTCAATGTACCAGTCTTATCCGAACATACTGCAGTCGCATTTCCCATAGTTTCACTGAAAATTTTTATAAAGTTTTATTAAATAAATAATAAAAAAAAAAAAAAAAAGAACACACACAAACATCATGTAGTATATACCAAGCAGCTAAAACTCGGACCAAATTATTATCTTTCAACATCTTGGTGGTTGCGTAAGCAAGTGCAAGTGTTACAGCCATGGGCAACTAAGACAAGGTTAATATGCATAAACATTCAACATAAATTTTTTTTTAAAATATATACATAAATATTATATATAACTAAAATATAAATAAAAATAAGTGTACATTAAAATATAAAAAAAAAATTTATACATACACCCTCTGGTACAGCGACAACGATAATAGTAATTGTTTGAACAATAATAGCAGTCATGGCGACCATTATCTCTTCAAATGAAGGAAAATTGTCAGAAATAGCCGCAGTAATAAAATATTTAACGACTAGTGTACTAAGAATAAGCATATTATTAAAATTAATGATTATTCATTTTATATCACTTAATGAAAATAATTTAAATCAAGAAGTAGATATTCATACATAAACATAAGTAGTGCAACAGCAATGCCTAATCGTGCTATTGATTCTGCAAGACGGTTTAACTTCTGTTGAAGTGGTGTCTCTTCGCCTTCATTATGGCGTAATGCCTAATATGTATGTATTAAATAAAAACATTAGTGGTTTTTATTAATAGAAAACTTGTTAAGATATTATAAGAATTGCAAAAGTGTATGTTCACCATCATGGTTTTTCCAAAGTAAGAGTGTTCG